AGTTCGGGAATAGGAGGTGCCTATAAAATATATTACTTTGCATAAGATTTGTATCAGCGTACTTGAACAGTGGAATTCAATAACTCTAGTTCTCGCGCTTAGTGTATATTGAAATTTTACGAAATATTGTGTCCGTTCATATGCTGAGAAGGAACCGATTATTTCTCACATCTAATCAATCCAGTTTTTATCAACACATCGGTCTGTAGACATAATATTATTTTGATTATTTCCATATTTACAACATTAGATGACAGGAAGTGCGCATTCTGTTTATTATAGTGATCTTACGTGTGTAACATTTATAATAACTAATGAAATAATTCTCTATACTATAATTGTTGTTTCATTCAACMTTTCATAGTAGTACAATAAAATAATATATTGAAAATAGAGGTTCATCATAATAATTTGTTCATTTAATATTATAATTTTAAATTTCACTTCAATATAAAAATAATTGCCAACTCTTATAAAGATTTTAATTTGGAATCACCATTAAATGTAGAATGCATTTTATTAATAACTGTAAAGATGCGTTAGCATTCTTTTTTTTAAATAATTCAATGTCTGATTTCATTTTTCTTTATACCTTCCTTTGTGATTTTTTTAAAATTAATTACTTAGTTTATTTATTTTTTGGGGGTATTTTTTCTTACTTTTATCTTGTCTATACTATACTAGTATACTACGTTAAATAGTATTATTATATACGTATATCTATAGATACGTCTAAATACTGTATAACATAGCGAATCTTTTACATATTTATTTTTTATGTTTTTGAATGTTACAGGAATCATTAACTGAAACGAGATCCAACCTGAACTTCTTACATATTGTTAAAGATACATGCATGGATATGTACGACATTGAATCCCTGAGCGACATCCAACCCATATTACCAAATTTATTTTTACAGTTTATTTTCATATATGAAGAATCCCTTTATTATAATAATATGTAACGGACATTTCATACATTTAATTTTCAAAACCAATATTTTAGAGATCTGTATATATTATTTATATAGTAATGTGRTAAATCTTTGATTTATTTTAGACAAGATTTTGACTATTTGTGTGGTTGTCTGTGTAATCAAATAGTATTTTTATGCCGAAAAACCATAGACACCGTTACTATACTTAATAGTGACATAAAGATGTTAATGGATTCCCTTTACAGATGTTTAATGTTTTGTGAACAATTCATATTTGTGTATTCGGAAGTAACAGTTGATTTATTTATAACGGATATTTTCGAGATAATGTTTTTTATGTGTTCCTAGGTGATAAAAATGTATAATGATCAAGATAAAGAACACTTGTGGGTAAAAGCTAAAACTGTATACAAATTTATTGAACGCTGCAAAGACTTAAAATATATTTTGAAATCAAAAATAGTATTTAAAAGGTATTAACTTTGTATAACTCTACTATAGTCAAATTTTATTGTGCTGATAATAATAGCGAATGTTAGAGGTTACTTAGCAATTAATTCTAACAACTTMTTACCAGGTTGAACGTATACAATCTTGATGTAGCGAAACCAAATTTTTCGTTTAGTCCAGGAGACTATTTCGTGAAATATTTGGACGACAACGAACTGTATTTCGATGGCATTATCTACGATTTAAAAGATCCTCTAATAAACATATTCAACGTGCTTGACAATGTTTGGGCTTACCATATCAAGAAGTAATGAACGATTAATAATTTATATGTGTGCTAAATATTACAAAAACATATTGACTTAATTTAATGCTCAGTTCCTTAATTAAAGTATAAGTACTTAAAAATTTTCGATGACAAGTTGAATCATTTTTGGAATTTATAGGTATCGATCGAATTGTATTATACATTACTGTTGTACTATTATACTCAGTATATAATTACTTATATATATATATAAGTATATAAAAGCTTGTATCTTAAATGAATTATTTGAAAATGGACTTTGACATATTTTATTAAATTAGAACAAAAAAATCAAACATTAATTATTTAATCATAGATTTCAGAATGAAATCAAACAGTTATGTTTAAAAATTGAACAGCTAACTGACATGGCGTTGAAAACAGCCTGCAATGAAATAGACTGTATAAAAATATTACAGGGCTTACGATATTTCATTGAATGGCCGCCACTTAAGTATTATTTTCGTATAAAGACAAAATTAGTATATACATTTATAATGGACTATATTGCATCGGTCATGGAAATGTTTTATAACAATAAGTATTGGATATCTTATTACATGCCAAAATACTCGGGTATTTGCTTGATGGCCGTAATCCAGTACAACAATATAACAATATTAAAAAATGTAAATTTATATATTGATTATTATTTTACATTCATTAGATAATTAGCCGAAATAGTATTCGATAATTATTTTATATATCATCTTTACAACTGTTTTTAATATACCGCGTATGTTTTATAATAGGCTATCTTTGACCGGCCTTGGTTATTGACATGTTCTTTAACTAAACAATTACGAGAGGCATATGCTTCTTACACAGACCTCTATCAACGAATGCTTAAGAATTCATTTAGAGCTTGGTGGGATCAGATTGATCCGGAAATCGAAACCCAATTGGAAAATCATATATTTGTAAAAACTCAATTATCAAATCGTTGTTGGAAATATAATTTAGATTTAAAAAGGTAACATATTAAATATATTGATCTTTTAATTGCATTTAAAATGTACAAATTATATTGTTTTCCTGAAAAGCTGTGTCTATGATTTGACTGAAGAAGTCATTTTTTGGAAGTTGATCAAAGTAGGAATGCCATATGAGTACTCAGAATTTACTAAAATCGCTCAAAAAATAAATGATGTACATAAAAACGTTACAATGGTTCTCAAGAACTACAATTACATAATTTCAGGTACTTTTTATCTTTGTAGACAAAAATATTGTATGTGGTAAATTAATGGAAGGATTATATGTGTTGCACACAGGCTTATCCGTACAAGAAGTACAACTCTTTTATGAAACAATACATACGTGTGTTAAGACAATAGATCCGTTGGTTTTCAAATATACTTGGGCTCAGTCGGAAAATGTTAACAAATATCTTCCTAAATGTTGTGAACAATTGGAATCAGTTAAGTCGTATTTAACTAATATGGTTTAGGGAAATAAAAAAAAAATWAAAAAAAATGTAATAATAATTTTTAGGTCCAAGACATTGAAAATTGCTATAAGCAATGCAATAATGGAATCATGGAAATATGTATACAAATATCTAATACTCCGTTATTTGGCAATGAACTTGAACTTATTAAGATAAAAGGTTTGAACCATAGTACGGATAAATTCAGGTTTGATTCCAAGTTTTTTTATAAAACRTCAATACTCTATAATAGGGGTCATCAATAAATTTATATGGAGGCACGTTATGAAACTTACCAAACTGGCCGCGGTCCCTAGCAGTTGTATTGTCTTTTACACAAATTATTCAATTAAAAATTAAAAATTTAACATCCCGAAGTGCGCTTCTCCATTTATGAATATACAAATACAGATTATTTTATATTACTTAAATAATTCTGTTGTTTTAATATACATTTTATATGACACACTTACAGAATTTATTTATTTATTTAGAAAAAAATTTAAAAACTTAATAAAATTAATAAAGTTAATCCTCGGATAAGGCATGTAAAAAAGTATTCACGGTCTACCAGTTGGTGACTCCTGCTCTACATAATACATAATAAATACATACATTAGTTTTTCTTTCAGTAGTAATAAGACGTCGGTCACCAAAATTATCGGCTATTATAATGAAATTATCAGATACGTGACTGTTGTTTATGAAGGATTTGAAAAATACATTAAGCGTGTATGTAAAATTGTCACAAAATATTATTTTTTCTTTTCACAGAGAAAATAAAAAATAATCTACAAATATTTTAATACATCACATATCAAAATTATAAAATATTACGTTCTTTAAAAAACATAAATTTAAATAGATGGTGTTATTTTGGGAACAATACCTAGTCAAAATTGATATGCTCATACATGAATCGTTAGTTCTTAATGTAAGATGGTCTATGAAAAACAATTTATCACAAAGAAATGATACTGTGTTTTTGATTAACGTCAGTTTACATGGCAGTAATGTAAGATTAGTGGAAACTTTATTGTTGTAATAACATTTTTGATCACAACTTATCAATCGATATGATTTTTGGCAGATTAAATATAATCCAAGTTTATTAAAACTAGTGGTATATTCTATGAAGCTACTTTTGGATATGGCAACAGCATTAAAAGTTATACCCAGGTTATGTCATACATTCAAAATGACAAACCTTAATTTAATGCCATACAGCTATGCGATCGCCMATGACCGGGTGTGTTGTGATTTGCAGACGGATATCGATTTTAGTATGTATAAATCATAAATTACATTAATTGATCAAAGAACTCAAACTAAGGTATTAATCTATGATACAATATTTTACAATCTTGTAACCTCGTACTATCTAAAATCAACAAATTATTATATTAAAATAAACAATCATATTATTATAACCTAATSCACCGTAATGAAGCTGGTGCAGAGTTTTAATAAGAGTTTTTTAATGATATTATTGAATTCAGCTAGTTTTTATGTAACTGTATATTTAAATAAGTTAAACAAAATTAGTCAAATTAGTTAGTATTTATTCTCGTGTCTTATTTAGCAACGAAGGATATATTGATAAATATAAATATTTATATGAAAAAGTTAATGAAGTACAGTGATATTTGGACCTTGGATAAACGAGAACAATTAATTAAATTTCAGTTGATACCACATAATGCAGATTCGATTGATAACAAAATTATGCTGTACGAAAAACCACTTATAAATTTTACAATTTGCATTTAATTATTTGTTTCAAATTTATTTGTAGATACCTCAATTATATAAATATTTTAAATGAGATGCAGACTGAATCGATAGTATCTTGTATTATTATTAAAATCAGTGATATGATAAAGCAAGTTGTAAGACACTGCCAAGATTGGATTTTCAATTATTCCCAGCTACTTTTAGGTGAAACGGTCGATCTTATTGAAGGATTTTATGAATACATTGAAATTAATGGTGAACGGTTAGTCTCAAATAAAACATTGCTATACAAAGTAAATAAATTTAAAAAGTAATATGAAATACCTGCTTTAAATTTTTAATACCTAGTGTAATGGTACCACCATCAAACTTGGACGAAATGGTGAAATTTATTGAATATAAAAAAAAAGTTGATTTAGAGTGTAGTACAAAAAAAGAAGAGATAAATGTGATAACTGAAAACGTTCTTATTTTAGGTAAGCTTTGGGTTAAATATAATATTTATATTAAATTTTTATTATCAAGCGTCTTAGTTATATGTATATACTTATAATTTATAGACAAACATGAAATACATATGTCAGATACATTACGCAGCTTGTACAATGATTTACATAATTCATGGAATAACTATACTATATTATTAAACGAAGCAGAATTAATGTTAAAAGAGAAACACAATGAATTTCATGATATGGTATTACAAGATCAAGAAATCTTCAAACAAAATATTGAAGATTTTAAGCAAATTTGGGAACAATTCAAAGAAACCGAATCTAAAAATGTAGAATTGACTTCGTATGGTTCGTAAAAACCCTAACATTCATAAAATTTTCATTTAATATTTTTTTTGATAAATACGCCAACCTTGTATTATTTACTACGCGTTTAATAATAGTATACGATATTGATACTTATCAAATAGATAAAGCTAGTTCCAAAATTATTAAAATTCATTAAACATTCACAAATAGATTTTGAGCTGTGCCACATTTTGTTCGAGATTCTGAGTAGAGTGATGAATTGGTGATTTTAAAAATAATTTACTYTTTCTTGATAAGTAGAAGAGTTAACTAATCAAAACATAAGAATGTTAAGAAATAAATTTTTATAGTTTCATTATTTTCTTCTAAACACTAAACAGGATTAATTGTTTTTTTCAATCAAATCAAATAATTGTGTGGACAGTTTAGTCTCTATTGTAATCTCCTTCTAAATTACGAGGAAAATTGATTACATGATATACAGCATAGAGACTTGCCTAGTTTTTTTTTTTTTACATTCAAACAGCTGTATTTTTGAAAAATAGGCTCAAATTTATTAATAAATATTAATTCATTTTTTAATAAATTACAGCTGCTTTAGATCACATGTCTATAATGGAAGACAAATATCAAAAATTAAAAATTGAAGAAAAACAATTGAAAAATAATCTTGCAATATTCAATTTGAAATATGTGAAGCCACCACAGCTTAATATTAAAAAAGTAAAAAAGATACCAAAAATAATACTTAAAATTATTTATTTTGATTAAATTAAGTATTTATAAAATAATAATTTAAAGGTTATAAACAAATTATATGAACTTAATGTTCTATTTAAAATGCATTATTGGTATAATAAAAATATTTAGGTAGTAGGATAAAATCCTGTTTAAGGAACAAGGAAAACTATTAAAAGTTATTCCAAAATGATTGAAAATTCGTTATAAAATTAATAATATAATGTATTATATGAATCATTATTCTTAGGAAATGATTTTCTTGCGTCAAACTTTTACGATTGCTTATAATTGGGACAATACGTGGAATAAATATAAAGCTGCGAATTTCTGGGAGATCAAAGTATCTGAAATAGAAGTTACTATACAAAACATTTACAAAATGTTAATATCTTCAATGAAATTGCTAAAAGAAGAAAGTTGGAAAATGCTAGACACCAGACGTGATAGTTTGGATGCTTTTAGGCGTGTTTTACCTCTTATTACCGACTTGAAAAATCCAGCTATGCGTGACCGGCACTGGGATGAAGTACGAGAAGCTATGACTAAGTTAGTGGATGTTGTTATATTATTGTGATAATAATATTAATTTTTAATAAATCTCAACATTTAAAAGTTAATTTAATTTTAATAGATATTTTGATGAATCTGATCCCGGTTTTACTTTGGAATTAATAATGCAAATGCAAATTCAAAAGTACGGAAATCAAATAAGTGAAATTTCAAATAAAGCAACGATGGAGCTTAATATAGAAAACGTAAAGTCATTTAATATTTGATATTTAAAAATAATTAATTTTTAATGAATTATTTTTCTACTTAGTCGATAAAATCAATAGCAGATACGTGGATTAACATGGAACTAAACATAAAATATTCTAGTGATGAAGACATTTATCGTATTTCAGTACCTGATGATATATTACAAATGTTAGAAGAACATTTAGTACAGTTATATTCTATGAAAGGATCGAAGTATATAATTAATTAATTCAATGATTATCTGATACTTTTTTATTCTTCTATCAATCAATATTTTYATTTTAGGAATATTTCTATATTTTTCAAAGAAGCTGATTATTGGTCAAAAGGAATTTCCCTTGTCACTGATGTCCTAGAATTAACACTTTCTGTCCAAAGGCAACTTTTGTATGCAATGGTAGGTATATTAGGAATGCCCAATAATTTATAGATTTATGTATTTAAATTCTTCTACCATCATAGAACATATTTAAAGGTGAGGATATTCGTATTCAAATTCCAAAGGAAGCTGATGAGTTTGATTTATTAACAAAAGAGTGGAAAATTATAACATCTAAAATGTATACCGATAAGAATTTATTTAAAGCGACCAATTCAAAACGTATATATCATGTTTATCTAGTATACATTGAAGTTTATAAGTGTTAATTATTTAAGTTATTTATTTATATTTAGCTTTATTAAAAAAATTGCAAGCTATGAGTGCACGGTTAGATACAACCCAGAGAGCACTTGAATTATACATGGAGACAAAACGAAACATTTTTCCTAGGTTTTATTTTATATCCAACGAYGACTTATTAGATATATTGGTACATTCAAATAATCCAAAACGGCTACAGCCACATTTTAAAAAATGTTTTGACAATATTAACAAATTAGAACTTTCAGTAAGTGAAATATTAGTTACATTTAATTGTTTCTTATTCATGAACTTTTGTAATATTATACATTTTAATCAAAGGATAATGACACTTCAGCCATAGGAATGTATTCGGCTGACGGAGAATACGTAGCTTTCACAAGTAGAGTCAAGTGCAGTGGACCTGTAGAACATTGGATGAGCTCTATTGGTAAATTTATTAAGCTGATTTCAATTCAGTTAAAATTAAAATAACATGTTTCTTCTATAGAAGCAATTATGCGAGAGTCACTTAGATATAAATTAATATATGTTATGGATGCGTTGAAGAAAAATCTTAAAACTCGTGATAAGTGGATATTAAAATGGCCAGGACAGTTATGTATTACAGCGTCTCAAGTATGTATTATAACACTGGTTATTTTGAAATCTTAACATGACTTACATCATCATTATGTACAGATTCAATGGACAGCTCAATGTACACTGGCATTGTTACAATCCAACCTTACTGGGAATAGTAAGCCACTAAAAAAACTTCGGAAACGACAAAAAAAAATGTTATCAAAGTTTTCTGATGCTATTCGTGAGGACTTAGCAAAAATAGATCGATTAAAAATCGTTTCATTGGTMACCATCGAAATACATGCTAGAGATGTAGTTGATCATATGTATACTTCTAGTATGTACAATTAATTTTTAGTATTTAAAAGAAATAGTTTAGACCCTTACCATTTTGTGTGATGAATCATTATTTAGAATGTATGAACGTGGCTGACTTTGAATGGATGTCACAGTTACGATTTTATTGGATTAAAAAAGATAATGAATTAACCATCCGACAAACAAATACTGATCAACCTTATGGATATGAGTACTTAGGTAATTCTGGAAGATTAGTCATTACACCTTTAACCGATAGATGTTACATCACAATGACTACGGCCCTAAATTTGTTTCGTGGCGGTAGTCCAAAAGGACCGGCAGGTACAGGAAAAACTGAAACTGTAAAAGATTTAGGCAAGAATTTAGCTTATTATGTAATTGTCATAAACTGTTCTGATGGCTTGGATTATAAGAGCATGGGACGTATGTTTTCTGGTAAGTTTATAACAACATTTACTTTTATCCTTCCTTATTTGTACTTTTTATTTTACTTCTGCTTCTAATAGGGCTTGCACAGCAAGGTGCTTGGGGTTGTTTTGACGAATTTAATCGTATCAACATTGAAGTATTGTCAGTCGTTGCACAACAGATACTGTCCATTTATTCTGCCCTCGCCGCTCGAAAAGATAAATTTATGTTTGAGGGTTCAATAATAAATCTCATACATACATGTGGTATTTTTATAACGATGAATCCTGGATACGCTGGTAGGACAGAATTACCTGACAATTTAAAATCAATGTTCCGTGCCATATCCATGATGGTCCCTGATAGCAAACTCATTGCCGAAATAATGTTATTTGGTGAAGGTTTTAGAGAAACCCGTGTTTTAGCCAATAAAGTGTTCGTTTTATTCGTGTTGTGTAAACAAAAACTTAGCAAACAAGATCATTATGAATTTGGACTTCGAGGTTTAGTTTCATTAATAAGATATGCTGGGCAATGTAGACGACAAAACCCACATATGTTAGATGACGAGGTATGGATTATTTATGTGTATTCAATTATGCATCTTTGATAAATCACCAAATTAATTTGTTGTTAATTAAAATGAAAAACTATGGAATTAGGTACTATTATTGGCAATGCATAACATGAATTTAGCGAAACTTACAGTAGACGATCTTCCAATATTTTTGGGCATCGCGAAAGATTTATTTCCCAGTATAATTCTACCAGAAGTTAAAAATGACATACTCATTCGTGCAATAAAGCAATGTATGGCAAATAAAAATCATCAGCCATCAGACGCTGCTATTGCAAAAATTATTCAGCTGCACGAAACCAAAATTTCTAGGCATTCTGTTATGCTACTGGGACACACTGGAGCCGCAAAAACTTCTACATGGAAAACTTTAAAAGATGCAATAGCATTATTAAAGGCTGAAAAAGTTGAACAATTTGAAACAGTAACTGTAAGTCTTAATCTTATAGTTAAATGGAATTAAAATATAACCTGTTAAAAACTTAAAATGAGTTTACTATAGTACTAAACTTGGTATATTCTGCATCACATAAAAGTAACTTCAGAACCCACTTTATTACTCCAAAAACCATCTAGTTACCATTTTATTAAGATGAACAATTGTTGGTGAAATTGAAACAATATAATTAAATTGACGTCAGTAAYAAAAGGTTTCTGATATTTTATCGTTCCGGACTCATACTGGTCTTAGCTTCATATTACTATTATATGGTGCACAATAGTTTAATCAAAACATTGGTTRTAAAATCTTCATGAATGATAATTAAGTCAATCTAAAACCTAATACAATTAAGTATAACCCTTTGAAATATAAAAATATTTAATTATTAAATTAAAAATAATTTCCCATAATATGATAAGAAAAATTTTTCCTATTCCTAAAAAAAGATTCCTATTCTTATATATTCGTGAGTACTTATTTAAATTATTTCATAGGAATATCCTTTGAATCCAAAGGCGCTTACACTTGGTGAGCTTTATGGAGAATATAATGCTTCTACACAAGAATGGACTGATGGTGTATTATCGTCTCTAATGCGTACAGTTTGTTCAGGTTGTTAAACATTTTTAAGGCTTATCAGTCGAATTGCTTATAACACATTTTATTTACAACTTGAAAAAACGCTATTTTGAACCTTCAACCTTATACATGTCAGTAAATGAAACTTAATTTATATTTATAATCTTATCAAATTTATAGATATTCATATGGATCAAAAATGGATACTTTTTGATGGCCCCGTTGATGCACTTTGGATAGAAAATATGAATTCAGTAATGGACGACAATAAAGTATTAACGCTTATTAATAGCGAGCGAATTACAATGCCAGAACAGGTAAAACATTAGTATTATTTTTATGTGAACAAATTATAGATATATCGAAGGACTTGTGATACTAACTATTTAAATTAGGTATCCCTTCTGTTTGAAGTAGAAGACTTAGCTGCAGCATCTCCAGCAACTGTTTCTAGATGTGGAATCGTGTACAATGATTATAAAGATTTTGGTTGGAAATTGTACTACAAATCATGGTTGACTAACTGTGAATTTGAACCATATAAGATTAACGTCAGTAACCAGTTAATTATTTTATTAGCCATATATAATAATTAACTAAAAGAATATTGTTTTTAGATCGAAAAAAATTTTAAAAAATATGTAACTACTGTACTAGAATTTAAAAAGTTGAACTGTGTTGAAACTGTTCCTTTACCTGAATTGAGTTCTATTGTTACATTATGCACATTGCTAGAATGCTTTACATTTAATGATTTAGCTATTAAAATGCCTACTGGATTAAAATCCGATGACTACGATCATCTCATTAAATTATKGTTTCTGTTTTGGTAACAACTGGTACGAGGAATTAAAACTATCAAAATAATATTGAAAAATAATTTTTCAGTTTGATTTGGTCAATTTGTGCCGCAGTTAATGAAGATGGTCGAAAGAAAATTGACACTTTTTTTAGAGAAAAGGAAGTGGTATTTCCAATAAGCGATACAATTTATCACTATTATGTTGATACAAAAACTGCTCAGTTTTATCACTGGGATAACTTTTTGCGTGATAGTTCTTGGATATACAAAACAGAGTATACATCATATAATTTTTTGTATGCATTCGGTTAATAAATTCATTTTCAGATTACCTTTTTTCAAAATTATCGTACCAACAATTGATACTGTTCGTTACAACTATCTTGTAGAAGCATTTTTAAGTAAAAAACGGCCCGTTTTATTGGTTGGCCCTGTTGGTACCGGAAAAACTTTAACCGTCCAAAAAGCACTGGAAGTTATGGATAAAAATAAATTTTTATGTTTAACAATTAATATGTCAGCACAAACTACTGCTCATAACGTTCAAGAAACCATTGAAGGAAGATTGGAGAAACGTACAAAGGATACTTACGTTCCACTATCAAGTACATAATTATAATAAAATATTGGATAAATTAAAACAAATTTAATTGCTTAACTGTTAATACACATAAGATCTTCATCTAAAAAATTACATTCTATTTTTTTTTTTCAAATTAATTTGTTTATTTTGTTTGTTAATTTTTATGCGCAGATAAAACGTTGGTGACATTTTTGGATGACATGAATATGCCCGAAAAAGAAATTTATGGTGCTCAGGCACCACTGGAATTGATTCGGCAGTGGATTGACTACGAGTTTTGGTTTGACCGACAGAGTAGATTACTGAAGTACGTGAAGAATATGCTATTGATCGGTGCCATGGGACCACCTGGAAGTGGTAGGAGTACCATTAGTAACAGACTGTTGAGTTGTTTTAGCGTTATAAATTTAACGTTTCCCGAAGAAGCGCAAATATCAAACATTTATGTATCAATGTTAAGCCAACATCTTAAATCATTTGTGGAACATATACGAAACTTGAGTATGATATAGATATTAATACTATTTTGATAGTATGATTGTGTTGTCACTTTTTTTTGCTCGTTGCAGAAAACGGACTAACCAATATGACAATTAATCTTTACAAAAGTGTGGTAGATAACTTGCTACCAACACCTGCGAAAATGCATTATTTATTTAACTTGAGAGATATATCTAAAGTGCGTCATTCACCATATAATATTATATATAACAAGCTTATTCTATAATTAATTAAATATGTATATAAATATATTAATATAATTAATATATTTAATCGAAAATATTATGCCTGATAATATTTTATATAATATCTTAATACAATTTTTTCCACCCATTGTCAAGTACACAATTTTCTCTCCTGATAGTAATTACATTTTTAGGTATTCCAAGGATTGTTGCGCAGTAATACTGATTACCAGACAACTGATAATTCGATGTTACGGCTTTGGTGTAATGAAGTGTTCCGCGTATTTAATGACAAATTAATTGACAAAAAGTAAATTATTCAACTTCCTGTGATAAAATGTATAATAATGTAAACTACATAGTTTTATAAATTCTGATTACTACGTTACAGAGATCGAGAATGGTTCATGGATCAAATCAACGTTCAACTGGGGAAACATTATGATATAACTTATAGAAGTCTATGCTCCTCATCAGAACAAGGTTTATTGTTCTGTCATTTTTTGAACAAGCAATCACGGTACGAAGAAGTTACCGACGAAAAATATCTACGTGAATTTATCGATGACAGCATAAAAGACTACAATTTAAGCTTTGGAGTTATACCATTGAACCTCGTATTATTCAGAGACGCTATCGACCATATTTGTCGTATTGTCAGAGTTATATCCCAACCAAGGGGTTATATAATGCTGGTCGGAATTGGTACAAAGTTTATAATTCGACACTATCATTCTGCTTTAATACCCTACATCTTTTCTGATAGGTGGATCCGGACGATCCTCACTTTCAAAGGTTGCAAACTGGCTATGTGAATACAAAATGTTTACAATTGAATTGAATAAAACGTATGGAATAGGAGATTTCAAAGAAGACTTAAAACGTCTGTATTATCAGACAGGAGTGAGGGATCAACCAACGTCATTTTTGTTTAATGACACGCAAATTGTAAACGAAATGTTTTTGGAGACTATAAATAACATATTAAGTACCGGTGAAGTACCACAACTATACAAAGAAGAAGAGTTTGATGAGGTTAGAATACCTAATAAGTGCTAAAAAAAATGCAACTTTGTATTGACATTTCTAGATTAAAGAAGTATTATCGCCCGCTGCTAAAAAAGAAGGTGTTCCAGAAACAACAGATGATATTTATTCGTTTTTCTTAGATCGCGTCAGAAGCAATCTACACATTATTCTATGCCTTAGTCCGATTGGAAACCAATTTCGGTAAGTTTGATGTACAATACAATTAATGTATGAATATAAACGGGTGAAAATAAACTTTTTACTGTTTTTTTTCCCCCTTAAATGAATAATTCAATCYCTTGTGTGGGTGGTGRGTGGGTGACTAAACATTCTAATAACATTTAGTCAACTTTATATAAAATAAAATATTATTCTTCAATGAATGTAATATTGGTGATCATTTATCTTTGTTTTGAGCTGGGATTCATTACAGTTTTTGGCCAAATACCAAATTTCTACTTAGTTCTATTATATTGACTTCTACAAGTTAGACCAAGTTAAAACCAAAAACAAGTTACGAAGTAATTTATGTGATGCAGTGGTGAAACGAACCTAAAATAACCCATAAGCAAACTTACAATTTACACATAACCCACCCACCCATCCATTAGTGCTATTACCCATAGTAGGCCTAACCTAACCTACCTATACCTGAATATATCTATAAATTGTTATAAATACTAATACTAATAAGTACTTAGTTATGGTTATTCACTTTCATATTTTCACCCATGGCACACACCCACCACCAAACCTTAAAAAAATCGAGAAGCAGTCGCTTCTTAAAGACCATGCGGTCGTTTCGCCACTGATTTGTGATGAATATAAAAAATTGTCGATACCTACAATATCGATAAATAAATAATTAGTTTCGTTTTATGTTATTGCTATATACAATATGTTCATTTTTTTACCAATGATATTTTAACTATTATTTKCAATTTACTAATTTAATTTAATCTCAAATATTTATTATATAGGTAGGCAAGACCTGTCCATGATCTGCAATATACGTGWTGACTTACCATTTACACTTTTTTATTTTTTGCAATGTCTATTGTGACAAAATCGTTGAAATAAAATCTGCATTATTTATATTAGGTTCAAACAACGATAAAAAAAACCATCCATATAATTGATTCACTTATCGGTATAAATCATTCTGATTTATTCAACATTAAGAAAAAAATTTAAATATTTGTACGAAAATATATTGTATACAAAATTTATAATTCAATAATTTCACTGATTTTTTTGTTTTTTACTCGCCAATTAGAACGCGGTTGCGTCAATATCCTTCATTGATCAATTGTACTACAATCGATTGGTTTTTGGATTGGCCTAAAGAAGCTTTACTAGAGGTAGCATTTAGCTCTCTTGCTACAATAGAAGTCTTGGAAACTATAACTGGCGCACCAAGAGTAAGATTAAAAGTTTAATAATACTAAATACCTGTCTACTGTACTTTTATAGATACTACTGAATTGAAATTATGTTATAGTGAAAACCAACAATTTTAATTTCTCAACACATTTATTTTTCAATTTTTATACTTCAGTAATTATAAAAGTTATTTATAAAGTTAAATGTTTAATGCATTTTTACATTTTTCATAAAATTAAAACAGATTTAGGTTCATATTGGCTAGATTTCCTAATGAACATATTAAGTTAATTTTAATTACATTAATATAGTAATAAGCTAATGACAGATATCATTAAAAAAAAATGTAACAAAAATATAGTATATATATTTAATACATAAAATGTATTAATAACTATTGACTAATGTAATAATATTAACCTTAATAATTAATATAATATCAGTATAAAATAGTTAAAGAAAACYATTTAAGATAAATAAAATCTAAAAATCTATATAAATTCATATTAATTATAAAATACATAAATAAATACACAGTAAAAAATATAAATACAATTTTTACTTGTTTTCATTACATTATATAGATTTATAAATATTGAATATGATTGTACTATATTTTTTTTTTCTTAATTAATTATTCCTTAATACATGCAGAAAATATATACCTACCTATCATTTGCTATATAGTAGGTTTTAAAAGCTTTATTCGCAAAGAAACTCAAAATAAAATAATAGATTACATTTKAACTCAATGTTAAATCATTTTTAGTTCAAAAACATTTTTTAATTCTATAATGTACCATTCAATTAAAAATCTTAAAAATTATTCTATTCCTTGATTTTATTGCTACTTTTCATCCAAGCGTTAAGTTGGTTATTCTATTTATTATAAAACTGTGTTTTTGTTATCATTTGTGAATTAACACTTAAAATGTGGAATGTATATCTAACATAGTTTTATGTATTGATTGTATTATTAAATATACTTAAAATTACTCGGAGAACACCACAGTTCTCAATRTTTTTAATAACTAATTATTATTAATATTATTACAATTCGTAACGTAAATMATCAAGTAGATACTATTGTATACCTATTCAAAAAACAAATATTTCACGAATTATTTAAAAAACTTATATGATATATGTTTAATTCTAAAGCCTTATAAAGCTTATCTGCATGATAAGACAAAATCAATGTTCCTTCTAAATTGTAGACAGAGAAAAAGGGGTAACATTTTTTTCTTGTGTACAATAACATAACTAGTTGAGGGAAAACATTTTTACATATTAACCCCAAATTACAAACAACATAAAACAAGGAAATTACAAATTTATTGATGATATATATTTTGTGCCTAAATACCTTTTGTTTATTTTTTCATTTTAATGTACCTACATTTTATTTTCCAGGTATTTGATGTAGATACAGTTTCCTTGTCAGAGGTAATTTATAAGCCAATAATATATATATCATAGTACCAAATACTACATTGATGGTATATTTATTAAAATTTATTATGTATTATTATTCATAGAACGAGTTAAAACTATGTATTGCAAATTTATTTGCCATTATTCACCAGTCAGTTGGAGAATATTCTAGGCTGATGATTTTAGAACTAAAGCGATACAGTTATGTTACACCTACAAATTATTTAGAATTAGTAACAGGATATAAGGAGTATGCAAAAAAAATCTATGCCTATTCTGTATTATATTTATCGATTTGGTTGTTTTAAACAGAACATTACACATGAAACGAATCGAGCTTGCAAATAAGTCAAATAAATTAAGAAAAGGTTTGTTCAAAATAGACGACACCAGAGAAAAAGTAGCCGGAATGACAGTAGATTTAGAAAAAGCTACTAAAATTGTTCAAGCGTATACTCTGGAGTGTGATCAGTTTCTAGAAATTATTTTAAAGCAAACATCGATAGCTGATCAACAAAAAACTGAAGTTGACGAGAAAAGTATTAAAATCAAAGAAGAAGAAATTGTGTGTAAAGAGTTGTATAGATTGGCTATGATTGATTTGGAAAAAGCATTGCCTGCACTAGAGGAAGCTATGGAGGTGAATAATAAGTATATATAATATAATAATAGTATATATAATAATATTAAAATTAATATTTTAATAGGTTTATAAAAAACGTAATATTATTGTAATAGTTGTTCATTATTTAGGCTTTGAATTCACTCAATAAAAAAGATCTTGCTGAAGTAAAATCTTTTTCAAAACCTCCACATAGAGTTAAATTAGTTTTAGAAGCTGTAATGATATTAAAAGAATCGGAACCTAGTTGGACTGAAGCCAAAAAACAATTAGGAGATCCGAATTTTCTAACRCAGGTTAATTTCATATTTAAATAAATTAAATAAATTAAAATGAAAATAAAATAAATTTTTAGCTAAAAGAATTTGACAAAGATCATGTGTCACAAAAAGTATTAAAAAAAATTAATGCATTTACATCAAATCCAGAGTTTGAACCTGATAAAGTAGGAGCTCAATCAGTAGCTGCTAAATCACTTGCTCAGTGGGTCATTGCAATTGAAAAATATGCTATAATTTACAAGTACGCCATTAATATTATATTCATGTGATATTCGAATAAATATTTTTTTCTTTTATCAGAATTGTAGCTCCCAAAAAAGAAGCTGCTGAAGCAGCATTGGCCGATCTTAATGAAAAGGAAGCTGAATTACTTACTGCACAACAGAAATTATCCCAGATTCAAAAGCTGTTATTGAAATTAAAAATAGATTTTGATAAAAAAATGGATGAAAAAGAACAACTAGTCAAAAAGGTAAAYTTAATTTGAATTTAAATTTAAACAATAATAAATTTAAATTAAATTATAGGCTGATACTTTGAAGAGAAATCTTGATAGAGCAGCATCATTAATTGAAGGACTATTTGACGAAAAAATACGATGGACGGAAACTGTAAAACAATTAAATATATATTTTGACTATTTACCTGGCGATTGTCTACTGAGTATAGCATTCATTTCGTATATGGGTCCATTTCTATTTAAATATAGAGATATACTTTTGAAATTATGGACAAATTCAGTAAAAGATATGAAAATTCCAAATAATCCAGCATACGACAATAAAGATTTTTTATCTGATCCGGCTATTATAAGAAACTGGAATATTCATGGTTTACCCAATGATGACTCAAGTACAGAAAATGCTATCATTATCAGCCGTAGCTCGCGGTGGCCATTAGTTATAGATCCACAATGTCAAGCGTTGAAATGGATTAAAGACATGGAAGCTGAAAATGATTTAAAAATCATCGATTTTTGTTTACCAAATTTTATGAATATTTTGGAAACAGCATTAGAAAATGGGTATCCAACACTATTACAAATAACTTCTGAACATCTTGATCCTTCAGTGATGCCAGTTTTATCAAAATCTATAATTGAAAAAGGTTATTATTTTTCATAGTACCAGTTTTGAAATATTTTAAAAGATTGATAGATTCACTAACCGACTATATTTTTAGGAAATCAGCTTTATATTAAAATTGGTGATAAGATGTTACCATATAATGACAATTTTAGATTTTTCATTACAACTAAATTAAGAAATCCATATTATCCTCCTGAAATTTTTACACGGACAACAGTAGTTAATTTTGCAATTAAAGAAGAAGGGCTTGAAGACCAACTTTTGGACGTTGTTATCACAATGGAAAAACCAGAATTAAAAATCCTTAAAGATAATTTAATAATGAATATTGATAAAGGTAAAAAAACACTGATCGCACTAGAAGATGAACTACTTCGACTCCTCAATGAGATTCAAGGATCACTGTTAGAAAATGATGAACTTTTTCAAACATTAGCTTCTTCAAAAGTTACATCAATAACTGTAAATGAACAACTTGATATTTCTTTTTCAACTCAAATTGATATTGAGGTTGCTCGAGAGGTATTATTAAAAATTGAAAAAAATTGTTTAAATTAAATTAAATATACATTATAAATACCTAATTAATTATTCATATTATTTTTAAATTTATTATCTTACAAAATTAATTTCGGTGTTTATTTTTAGGGTTATAGAAGTTGTGCTAAAAGAGCATCAATTTTATTTTTCGTTCTTAACGAACTTAATCAAATTGATCCTATGTACCAATTTTCATTGGATGCATATATGAACTTATTCGAGAATTCAATAAAGAAGAGTGAAAAAAATGAAAGGCTCTTCGAAAGATTAAATCATTTAAATTCTTACCATACATATGCAGTTTATAAGAATACTTGTAGAGGGTTGTTCGAAGTTCACAAATTATTGTTTTCATTTCAAATAATCATAAGTTTATTAATGGCTGATGACTTAATACCTGCGTATGAAATGGAGTTTCTATTGAAGGGTGGTATCGTAGTGAATAGAGTAGAACAACCAGAAAACCCTTGTTCATGTATGTCTACAATCATTCTTACTTAAAATTTAATAAATATATTTATTTTATTTTAAAGCTTGGTTGTCATCGTCTAATTGGGATAATATTTCCGAGCTAAATAAATTGCCAGGTTTCATTGGAGTAGAAAAATCATTCGAACAGTTCTCTCGAGAATGGAAACAATGGTATATGTCTTCAAATCCAGAATCATTAAATCTTATTGGTGAATATTTTTTTTAACTAATATATACTAGTATTTCAGTCAAAACAATTTATATATCTGATAGGTAAATGGAACGAGAGTACTAATTCATTTCAAAAAATGTTATTCGTAAGATCTTTGCGATTAGACAGATTATCATTTGCGATATCAAATTTTATTTCCGATAAACTTGGTTCTAAGTTTATAGAACCACCAGTTATGGATGTTAAAAGTGCTCTAGAAGATTCAAGTTGCAAAACCCCATTAATATTTTTGTTATCTCCTGGAGTAGATCCAACTAACACATTAGTTGGTTTGGCTTCAAGTAACAACATATATTATGAATCTCTATCTCTGGGTCAAGGTCAATCACTAGTTGCAACACAGTAATATCACATAGGATTAAAATTTAATGTGTAATAACGTCTATATATTTAATAGACTAATTGAACAAGGCCAACAAACAGGAAAGTGGATATTYCTTGCCAATTGTCATCTTTCTTTATCATGGATGCCACAGTTAGATAAAATAGTTGATGTCATGCAAGACGGTAAATCTCACCCGGATTTCAGGCTGTGGTTAAGTTCAAATCCTAATCCTGATTTTCCTATAGCACTATTACAAAGTGCTATAAAAATGACAACTGAACCACCAAAAGTAATTTTTAAGAATTCAAAAATAAACTTATTGCAATAATGGTCCATAAAATGTACTCAGGGATTAAGAGCAAATATGAAACGTTTATATCAGAATTTAACCGAAGAACAATTTGATAAATGCAATTCGAAAGAAAAATACAAAAAATTAATATTTTCACTATGCTTTTTTCATTCAATATTAATCGAAAGAAAAAAATTTCAAAATCTTGGTTGGAACGTGGTTTACAGTTTTAATGATTCCGATTTCGAGGTGAATAACATTAAATCCAGCTTATATTTTAACTAATCTATTGACTTAGGAATTTTATTTATGCAATAAAATAACATAGCCTTACCCTTAACATTATTTCTCATTTTATTTTATAGGTATCAGAAAATTTACTATCTATATATTTGGATGAATATGAAGAGACTCCTTGGAAAGCATTAAAATATTTAATTGCTGGAATTTGTTATGGTGGTCACGTTACTGATAACATGGATAGAAGACTCTTAGATACCTACATTAGTCAATATTTTAATGAAGATGCAATTACAACGCCTCATTTCAAGTATAATAAATTATTTCATTCTTTTATTTTAGGTATTTTTATATATATTATATTTTATAATGATATGATAGTTATTATCTTCTATCAATGTATGCATAAGTAATCAAAATTAATTATTAGTTATTTTATTTAATTGTGTTGCATTTATTTATTATTAGTTAAAACTGATTAAAAGCTTTTTTTAGTAATGCATATTCTTAAATAAATTATCTTAAAACCTTATAATTTTCTATAAATATCGTGATATGATTGATTAATTGCTTGTTAATTCTTTTCAAACTTACTCTCAACTATTAACTCCTTGATATAAAAATAAAATAAATTTAAATTTTAGAATTTGAYTTGATTTATTTGAATCTTAAAACATTTCTCAAAACATAACAGTTATGTTTTTTCTTTTAAAACTTAAAGTTAAAAATACAGTATTTCAACTATAAAAATTAAAATATAATCTTATGGTTTTTAAGGTTATCTTCGTTGTCAACTTATTTTATCCCAAGAGATGGTGATCTTCAGATGTACAGAAATTACATTGACACATTGCCAATCGTGGATAGCCCCGAAATATTTGGTCAACATTCTAATGCTGAAATGGCTTCTTTTATGGGAGAAAATCGTATAATTTGCAATGCCCTCATGATTTTACAAGGACAATCAACGGTGGTGGAAGAAAATATAGAAGGAAAAGTTTTAGATTTATCTACTGAAATTCTGAAAAAACTACCTGATCTGATAGATTATGAGACTACTGCAAAAAATATTAAAAGGAACCCCTTGGATATTGTACTATTACAAGAGGTATTCTTCATAATCACAATACATTATTTACTTATTTTTAAAATAATTCATAAATAAATTCAATACTATAGAAGTTATATTTAGAAAAAAACGCATCGAAAATCCTACATGGATTCTAAAATTATAAGTACTTATTATCTTTCAATTTCATCAATTAAAACTTACATAAAATAACATAGTAAAACAGATTCTTATTAACCTAAAATTTGCTTTATTATACTTTTGTAAAACTGATACTACACATAACACATGCAACAACGATCTTAAACATAATTATTAGGTACTCAAATTAAAAAAATCGATTAAGTAGATGTCACTCTGCTATGTGTTAGGTTACTGAAATGGATTTTATTAAATTTGAATTCAATGATACAACATCATTCTATACGAAGAACGATTCTGATCGGAGACKTTTTGTCAATCTAAGATATTTTATACTATATTTCATTTTGTTATTATTTCAAAAAAAATTGAAGGTACCTATAAAATAAATTCTAAATTGATCAAAATTTCAAATTTTAAATGTCTTTAAGCATTAAGCACTAAAAATTATTTGAAATATTTTGAAAATTTTAACAATTATAGAAAATGCCAATATATGCATTCAGTTAAAATTGTATGTACTCGTTTCTACGGTAATTTTTTGAGTTACACCAATATACAAAATCAATTTTCTCAAACTTGATTTTGCGTAAAAGTAGATTCTTTTTTGAAATAGAAAATTGAAATATTATTTCGATAACTTGTCGTGTACACACACAAACATAATTAAATAAAAAACACACATAGTTATAAAATAAATACATTTATTTTTCCACTTAGGATCTAAATTACGTTTTTTCTATACACAACACACATTTGTAAAATTCAGTTGAATATGTATTTTAGAAAAATATTTTTCTTTGCAGGTACAACGTTATAATAGCTTATTAAGCGAAATTAAAATGTCATTAATCAGCCTTAAGAAAGGCATCAAAGGGCTAGCAATAATGTCATCTGATCTTGAAAATATATTCCAGTTTATAAATGAAGGTAGAGTTCCTGGTCAATGGCTCAAAGGTAATATACATAAATAACCACAATTACACTTGATATATTATTTATTAGTATATCTCAATACATAAAAAAATTAGCTTACCCWTCGCTAATGTCTCTGGGATCATGGACTCAAGATTTAATAGAAAGRATCAATCATTTTAAAACTTGGGCGAACAAAACTCATCCACCAATTTTATTTTGGTTGGGAGCTTACACTTACCCAATTACTTTTTTGACAGCTGTATTACAGGTAAATAATTGTTGTTTCTGTTATTATATTGTTTTTAACAATTATTGACATAAATTTAAAATATTATTTAGATTCATTCACGAAGTTCAAACATAGCAATTGATTTACTCTATTGGGAATTTATTCCTACAAAACCAGAAAGGCTATCAATATCTCCTAAAGTAATCACAGATAGTATAATAATTTTTAAATATTTAAAAAAATCTTACGAAATTATAATAATTTAATTATTCTAGGAAGGAGTTTACGTGCGAAACCTTTATTTAGAAGGAGCTGATTGGGATTTAAAACAATCGTGTTTGTGTGAATCAGTACCATTAAAATTTATTTCTGACTTGCCGGTAATACATTTTAAACCCATAGATAGTGCGAAAATAGCAAAAAGTATAGTCTTCAAATACTCATATATTTTCATTTATGTTGTATACTTTACATTTTTACATATTTTTAGATTTCTACCAATGTCCCATATATTATTATCCTTTGAGGAGTGGAGATGGAAGAGAATCGTTTATAATAATGATGTACCTTGATAGTGGATCGAAATCTCCAGAGTATTGGATAAAACGAGCAACAGCAGTATTACTTAGTTTATCAGTCTAATCTAAATATCATCAAAATACATTATTTAATACATTCAACTTATTTTTTCAATTTCAACTGTCTGTCCACATTTATTAGTTGAAATAATAGGATTTAAAAAGACAATTTAATTACTTTTTATAATAAATTAAAATACTAATCAGATATAGCAGTATTCTAAAATCATAATTATTACGTATTTAAATATATAGCATTATGAAAATAATATTATACAAGTATTATATTAAATTATCACCTTAACGTATTAATTTCAAATCGACAATTCATTTTAGTTAGTGTTTTAATATAATAAGCAAGTTTCTTTTAAATGTACATAAGTCATAACAAACTTATCATAGTGTGAACCGTTAAGGTGAGAAAACTTCAAGTACCTAACCCACCAACAACCTAAGTTATACCATGTGTTGAGGACCGAAACTCAAATAGCACGCCGATCGCCATACACACACCACATAGCACAATTTATTTATGCATCATTATTTCTGTTTAATTATGGTGGAAATGATATAATTTGTAAATATTATGCAATTGCGATATCGACTGCCGGAGGCTCACCGGCACGCAAAACATTAACACTGCCGTCCAATAATTTTCAATAGTTTGCTCACCGGTGTCAACAAAGCTACGTTCGTCTTCCGTTGTTAGTTACTGTCAACGCGGTGTATTATGTTCTGTGGGCCCGAATCACCACTCTTAATCATTATTTTATAAWATGAGCGCTTATCGACACTTTTAGTAATTTTATTTTTTATTGTATTTGTGTGTGAAATTGTATTATATAGCTACAGGAGAACGTTGAAAGAAAGCTGACCAGTCTACGCTCCACCAATTGTGAGTTTTTATTATTTTTATTAGGTATACTTACGTATACTTAGACATATCTAGTTGTTAGGCCATAAGGGCCGCATATTTATTTTTAATATATAGTATAGTGCCACAAGGGCAGTACATTATTTTTATATTTTTATTTTTKGCCTTAAGAGCCATAAGAGCCGCACATTAAGTTATTATACTTATTTTTTTTTTACGAGTCTCAGATCTAATAGCTGGAATATATTATATACTTATACTCTGTTGGGCAAGAAGGGCCATTAAAAAAGGCCATTTCCTTTGAGTCTCTATATTCACACATACACACTTTTACACTTGTCAGTCGGTGTGTAGCGTACGAAATATTTTGGTGACCGGACGTCACGGCCTATTAATGTCTGTTGCCGGCCCATACAACATGCATTMAAATCTGTATTGATCAAGCTTTAATAAATACCATGTTTTCGCGGATCCATTTTCAATATTTAAAAACCAGCACAATAAAGCCAATCCCCATCCCATGGTACGGGAAAAACACCCACACTAACTTCACGATTGATCATCAGTTAAAAGTACATCAGATGGAAACAACACGGTATACACAACAGAAACAGGCTACTACTTTGTTTTTACATCGTCATATAATAGGGTGTTTATGATATCTCAACCAGGTATACCTTTTTAACCGTATCAATTCTTTCAACCTGCCGAACAAAAAATCAAACCACCTCTCCACTGATCACCTTTGTGTCTATTTAGAGAAGAGCAGTAATCAAACGTATAGCCACAATTCCTATTGATTCGATCGTAGACATGGCTTTCTGACATGTTCAGAATCATTCAAAAATATTTTAACAACACATTAACTGAATTTTTCATGTTTCTAGTTCTGAGGGAATTACTCCTCTTAAAGACGTAGTCAGCAGACTGCCTACCATTATCTAACCTCAGACCTAGTACTTTTCAAATAACTCACATCCAAAGGTTACGAAATCACTGCAGTTCATAAATTTATTGAATTTGTAAATTACTCCTCCATATAGCTKCTTACCAAACACTCCTGCAAGCAAAGCCATATTCAAGTAATGTCCCTTCTTATATATCTCGGGTAAGGTTAGGTTAGGTTAAAAACAAGTGTTTAAATTCAAATTCAACATTTGATCTAATGTTATGTATGACCGATTGTACATGTTCTATGTGTTCAATGGCAGAACTTAAATCAATATCAGGTTTTTGTAGGATAACTGCAGATATTTGATGAGTTATGGACAACATTTTGCTAACGGTGAGTGGGTCGGACTAAAGTGATTAAAAACTCAAAATCACAAAGTTTTTTATGAAGTGAGCGAGCAGCTGTTCCATCATCTTTATTATCCGACCTTATCTGATCCATAGTTTCAATAATTGGTAAAGTATCATTTTTGAAAGTTACACTTACCTCTTACCGTTCTATCCATCTAGTGTCACAGTAATTCATTAAACGTGAAGGCGCTAATTTATGTTTAGATAATTTTGTTTTTAAGATATTAGATCTTCTCACTGATGCTCTCATAAAAGTACTTATTTCTCATATCACTYCAATGCAGTTTCTAACAGGTTGTAATTTTGATGCATCATTTATAACCAAATTTAACGAATGAGAGACACAATGAGTGTAAATTGAAATAGGATATTCATAATATTCAATAATATTACCTGTACTCCATTGAAAGCTCTACTCATTGCAACAGCCCCGTCATACCCTTGTCTACGCATGTAATTTAAATCAAAACCCAGAGACTGAAGTTCATTTTTAATTGTAGTAGGTAACCCTTTGCAACATCATTTACTGGTACAAATTTTAAAAAGTTCTCTTATTTYATTAATATCTTTATCAAAATAGTGAACACATAATGAAAATTCCTTGCACATCACAAGTTTTATCTGTAAGCACAGAKAAATATTTGGTTTGTTTTTACTTTTTCAATAATAATATTTTGAATATAAGTCCCTATTAATTCGATTATTTCATTTTGTATTAAAAGGCTTGTGTGTTGTGCACATTTGTTTTCCACCTGCTTGTAAAATATGAAATTTTCGGGTATCGTCACCATTTTTAGCTCTAAAGCGTAACAAAGCTCTGAAATTCTCATCATTATTATTTGGATCACTCGATATTCAGAGTCAGCACCAAAAACATATTTTTTAATTTGTCCTTGAAATTCATTTCCATAGTTAATATTGGTCGTTACTCGTCAATGTAATCACTAAGACACTAATCTTATGTAGTGAGAGACTGAGAGGTAGGGCGTAAATGCGTATTGCGTAATGTACTCATGTTATTGACGTAAAAATAAAAACCCAATAAAGTATAAACCAATCTATAAATAACATTCATATTAACTGTWAAACAATTATTATTGTTACCTTTTACCAGCAGCCAGCATATTATTCAATATACAATTTTCACATAATGTGTTCCGTGGACTGTGATAAATGATAAATAATGTCAAATAATTGTCAACGGTCTATGAAATATTAAGTAAATAAAATATGTCCCACATTTTATAATATGATTAAGGTCTCGACTATAATTTCGGGAGGGGTCTAGTGGACCACATCCTCCCTCCATATATACGCCACTGATTAACTGTATTTTTTATCAGGTAAGCAAGAAAAGTTAAATTTTGTGGTGATTTTGTTATATTTAATTAATTAGTAGGTGAACTTAGATAAATTGAAATACAAGAAATGAATATTCAATAAAAATCAAGAGTAGAGTGTACTTAAGTCACCTATGTCACCAACAAATTTGAAAATAATTTAATCAAACACTAAAAGTAAGAATGAATATTAAAATATATTATCCAACTAATAATATTTATTAAATATTATTATATGTTTTGAATTTTAATATCTTTAAATACTGTAATACTGCTTAGAACTATAATATATCATTCTAAATATATTGATATCTCAATCTGTGGTATTTATTATTAACATGCCATCTTAATTAAAATGATTGTATCCGCTTAAGAGCCTGTCATAAGTAACAACTAACAATCTAAATCAAGATTTCACACATTTTTTAAAACCGGTTAGGTACTAATTGTGGGTCAAAAGGCTCAATATCTTTCGTAGTTACATCAACTTTTTCCAAGGAGGTGGTGGTGGTGTCTTTAATGTATATATATTAAAGACTAGTGTTTATCTTTATTGTTTGGTGGATATATTGACAAGTATTTAAATACCTATAAAATTGCATCACTTCCTTATAACTTTTTTTTTCTTTTGAAATTCTAAAACATCTTAAAAATGTTACATTGATTTAAATATATATTTTAATGGATTTATAGGAATTCAATTGCTATTATTTAATATTCATTTTTCTAATATTTATTTTATTAAATTACATTTKCAGTGCTTAAAACATAAAATTTAACATTTCATTTGAGAATTACTATTTTTAGATATTGGAGCAGAAATTTCTAAATATTTCTAAATACAAATGAGTTTTTATTTAAGATTTTTACAAAATAAATCAATAGATTAATATCTCAATTAATTAAATTTCATTACTTTCAGTTCAGTGTATGATACAAGATGTGGGATTTGCACATTTTTTTCATTCTTTCAAATACTCACTTATATTTTGTGTTTACACAATTATACACCATAT